GTTAGGGTTCTATGTTAGGCTTCTATGAAGGGCTTGGCAAGATTCCATTACGGGTTAGATTCGGTTATTTACCTGTTCCAGGGTGCTCCCCAATGTGTTGCCTGAAGGGTTTGGTCCAGTATTTCTTTGAGGCTTCAATGGCTCCACTGGACAGTCAGATTGGGGCAGTACAGCCTCAAAGGCATACCGTCCGAGGACAGAGAGGTTAAGTTTGCCTTTTGGATTTCGGGGCTTGGCAGCTTAAACATGTGCGGAATATCAAACACATACTAAGCTGCTAGTAAACATATACATATACAAATACACATATATATATATATATGCATACGTACATGCATGTACATATACATACACGTACATATATGCACACGATCATAGAGTGTCTGCTGCTGTAGTGCGCTATACACGATGAAATGCCATGAAGCTTTATGGTGTTAGGGCGCAAGGGCTTCATTTGAGAGTTGGTGCTTTTCAATTTCGGGATCTAGGCTTAGGGCCTAGGGTGTTGTCTTGGGGTTTGGGATTTGAGTTTATGCTCGTGTGCTAAGGCTTTTGAGTGGTGGCTTGATGGTTTAGGCTTTGAAATCTGCGGTCCAGGCCTTCCGGCGTGATTCGCCAGCGTCAGACAGTTACTACTATTTGCTTAAGAACCCCCAAAAAATAAAAAATATGTTCCTTATGGGGGTAATATAGGGGTTATTATTTTTATTTTTTGGTGGTTTCTTAAGCAAATAGTAGGTTATGCCGGTTGTTGCACTGCTCTCCGCTCGGCCATTGAACCGCATCCGCATGGCCTGGCCTGTGCTCCGGCTCTGTCGTGGTGTGCTCGCAGGTCAGAGAAGTGGCCTTGCACTGAGCTGCAGTGCCCTGGCCCATTCAGGCCGTCAAGGAACCCGACCATCCAACAACTTTCTCCAGAACGTCTTCCGGGCACGGAGAGAGAGGTGTCCCTGCATGCTTTGCTGCTATTCTGAACCCAAACTAGGATGCCCAGTAGTACCCTTACTCCCTTTGTGTAGTCCTAGGTTCCTTTTAAAGTTGCCCAAATACCAAAAAGGGAGCCCCTTTCTATTCCGAGGTTACTGGGCATCGTAGGTCCAGTACCCTGAAACAACCCCCAGAGGCACCCCTAAGTAACACAGATCCGAAATATTTTGGGGCCCTTGGTTACTGGGCATCCTAGCAAAGTACCTGCTTCGAGGGCCTTTTGAAGGCCCCAGCTTGGAGGGTCTTTAGGGGACTTAGTAAGTATAAGGGGTTCCTTAAGGGCCCCTTTAAAGGGATCTATAGGGATTCTATAAGGGTAAAGGGTTTAGGGTGTAGGGGGACTTAGTAATGTAGCTATTTTAGGGACTTATAAGTACCATAACCCCAATTAGGGTCCCTTTTAGGGTACTTATAAGTCTACTTACTAGCTACTTACTAAGTCCCCCGACCCTCCAAGCAGGGGGGTGTGCAGCGTTGACTACGGCAGGGGGTCGGACGATGGCCCGGATTGGAGTCTTTATGACGAACCAAACCCCCCAACCCTAAACGATTATAGGGGCCTAGGTAATTACCAATCCTATTTTGGGTGTTACTTATTATAAGTATAATTTAATATACCCCGAAACCCTATTCTAACAGTTAAGCCCCCTCTATTATGCCCGTTTGGGTTTCAGAGCCATATTATATTCGAAGCGGCTTTTAGAAGCGACTCCTCGACTAAGGATTGCTTCAGAGAGTCCCCAAGTGCATTTTCAAGCTGTAGGATCCGAACCCTAAAACCACCTGAGACCTACCTGGACCTCAAAAGTGTATAGAACAATGGCTCCCTAAACCCTAAACCCTAAACCTTAAACCCTAAACCCTAAACCTTAAACCCTAAACCCTAAACCCTAAACCTTAAACCCTAAACCCTAAACCCTAAACCCTAAACCTTAAACCCTAAACCCTAAGCCGGTATTGGGCGATTATATGTTACCTACTTCGACAACCTAGAGCCCGAAAGTCTCATCTCAAAGCGACTCCTGGAATCCTGAATCACCCTAAGGGTCCAAGTAGTCCTTATTCAAGGTTTTTGGTCTTTAATAAGGCCCTAAAGTCCCTTATTTAAGATTTTTGTATCTAATATTTTAACGGTTTTACTGTAGGGTTTAGGTGTACCCAACATAGTTATAGTATGGTTTTGGGTATCTAATAAGGCCCTAAAGTCCTATAATAGGGTGTACTTGGACCCTCTGGGTCACAGGTCGCTTTCCTCTTCTACCGAGCGCTTGAACAAACAGATCGTCAGGGCGCAGGAGGTCTTGCCATGAACCTGGCCTTTAACATAGGGGGCAGTAGTAATTAGGGTAGGGTTCCTTTAAAGGGATCTATTAAGGGCCTATTCTAAGAGATCTATAAGGGTTTAGTATAGGGGCAGTAGTAATTAGAATAGGGTTCCTTTAAAGGGGTCTATAAGGATTGCCAGAAGGGCTATTATAAGGGTTTAGTGTAGGGGCCGTAGTAATTAGAATAGAGTTTTGGGCCCCTCTATGATGGTGTACTTATAGTAAGGGACGCTACGTAACAGCATTTGTAGCTATTTCGGCATCTATATTGGATTCTCAGAAAGTGAAGCAAGGGGTGCCGCATTTCAGGTAGGCCACTCAGCGTTCTCTGATGGGCTTGCCTTTATAGGATCTTGCTATTCAGGGTGGGGCTTATGTAGGTTTCAGGGTTAAGGGTTTCAGGGTCCGTGGTCTAAAGCTTAGGTCTCAGGGTTTGGGGTGTAGAGGCTAGAGCCACTATAGGTTTCAGGGATTAAGCTCAAGGTGTCACGATTCAGGGCCTTGGACCGTGGTTGTGCGGAACGTTTTGCGTGTGTGGGGGGGAATTGATTACTTAGTGGCTGATTGGATACACTTTAAACTTTTTGGGATGATATTACCCACTATAAAACTGAAAGTGTACACTTCTTGCGCGCTTATGAACTCGACAACTAAGATAAATGCTGATGATACCCAGTGCCCCTAATGCTGTAATCTATCTGGGTCTACTTGCTTGAGCGTTTGCTTCTTGGGCGAGGTCCCAAAGCCAGAAATCCTACCCGGACCCTACGGTTGATGATATGAATCCTGCATAACCTTAATGACCCTAGACTATGGGAACTGTGGTACACTCCTGATTATGGGGAATGTAAGATTTATATCACCAGCCGTGCGAAGCCTTAAGGGCCGCAGAAATGGATGCAGGTCTGTGGCCTTAGTGCATACCCTAGGGCTCCAAAGTAGCTCCTTTTTTGGGGGTTCATATATAGAATCCTATAAGGTAATCCCAAAAAGGGACTATGGGGCCTCTGGGTAGGGCATAGAGCGTTCCATCAAGTACGACACACTCTACATCCTTTAATTCGGGGTGGGGGAGTTTCCGAAAATAGAGGACCTTTATGTGGTACCCCAAATAGAAGGATCCTTTTGAAAAGGACCCCATAACAAGGAACCCCTAAGTTTCGGAAACTCCCGTGTCGGGGGCTTCAAACTTCTAGACTAGAAGCCAAAAGTTGGAAATCCCATAGCCTCAATCCTTAAGAGTAATGTAAAGGGCACCCCAGCTCTATTTGGCCTTAATCCGGTTTCCAACTTTATGGGGTTTACTTTGGGTACGGCCCCCACTCAGTAACAGTTGGATACTATTCATAATATAGATATATAAGGCCCTTAATAGTAGCCCTATTATAGACTGTTACTGTCTGGGGGGGGCCGTACCCAAGGTTTAAAGCAGAGTGAGGTGGGTGCTGCAGGGGGGCTCGGGAGCGCCGGGGAGTTGGATGCCTAAGCCTCTGGGCGGGTCATAAGACCTTAGGGGTACTTAGAAATAATTTTTTATTTTTGGTTATTATAATCCCTAAGAAACAGCTAAGATTATAATTTTTGCTAGGGTTCTAAGTTCAGTATAGAGACTCCTAGTCTGGTTTGTAAGGCCTCGACTATAGGGGCTCAATAGTTACCTATACTACTTGTTGTTGGGGGGTTCCTTAATTTATTTATCGTATAAGTAATGGGCCCCGAAATCCCATTCTATTAAGGCCCTTACATGATACCACTATAATTATAGTATAAGTAATGGGCCCCAAAGCCCTATTCTAATATTATACGGCATAGCCGCGATGTCTCATGGTTTCAGGAGCCGACGGCCGTTCAGACAGAGTTTTGGAAAAAGCCCTAAACCCTAAACCCTATAAACCGTAAGCCCTGACCCTTGGTCCCTAATCCTCGCATTGATCCCGGGAATGCACGCAGATATCTTGTGCTTGCAACTTTGCGGCTGATGCACCCCAGCGACGCGAATTTTTAAAAGCAGGAGCAGTAGTTAGTAGCAGCGTATGACCAGCAGGAGGATAACCAGCAATAGCAGAAACAGCACGTAGGCCCTAAACCAAACGAACAAATTCCCTGCAACAGGAACAGAGTGCCTCTGTTTAGGACTACCTTCTGTAAGTTCGGAACCACCCTGAACCCTACACCCTAAACCCCTAAAACCCGATGGAGCGAACCAGGTGGAACAAGGAGCCCACCCAAAAAGCAACAAAAAAAAAAAGCTGAAACCCTAAGCCCGTAAACCGCGATAACAGTAACGATAGTAGAAGCTTCATCACCCCTTATAGAACCCTTGTAGATCCCTTAGATCCCTTCTACGGAACCCATCAAGGAACCTGACTACTCCAAGTAGTGGAAGCCTTAAAGGAAAAGCCAGAAAGTTGGAATATGATTTTCCTAAATCCTTCATGGTACATTAGAAGGTATCCTACCCTGAAACCATATTCCAACTTTCTGGAGTTCCCTTTAAGGGTTCTCTGGATATAGCTTAAATCATAATATGAAGCCCTATATATTTTAAGCCATATTCCTTACTTAAGGGGTATTGGGGCCTTAAACCCTAGACCCTATGGATCCCGTATAGATCCCTTAAAGGAACCCTAGGTATTCCTTAATTAAGGGGATTAGGGGCTCTCTGGGAAGCCTAAGAGCCGCGAATGAATGGAGTCAGCTCCTAAAGTCGCAGACTTTGTCACAGAGCCCAAAGACCAGGCCGGGGGGGGGGGACTCTGATTCAGGAGTTTCTAGGTTTTACCCAGAGAGCCCAATACACCTTAATTAAGGAGTATGGCTTAAATTATTATAGGGCTTCATATTATGATTTAAGCTATATTCCTTAATTAAGGGGTATTGGGCTCTCTGGGTAGGGCTGAGGGTTTGAAAGGTTTAGGGCGTTTGGGGCTTGTAGGGGTTTGTAGGGTTTAGGGCTCAGGGTTTGGAAGGTTTAGGGCTTTCGAGGTCTAGGTTCTAATTATGAAGGCCCCTACATTATATAGGGGCCGTGATAATTAGACTAGTGCCTTTGAGCAGGGTTTGGGGTATACTGTACTATTATTATAATAAGGAACCCGCAAAATAGTATCGAGTTTCCGAAATTTTGGGGTACCCTCTTCTGGGGTCCGGAAATAAGGATCCTACTACTCAGGGTGCTAACTTAGGGTCCCCTTTTTCGGAAGCCCCCACATGAAGTGGCAACAAGGTCCGTCAATTGCGTTGGCCCACTTGATGTCTGGCGAGTAGTAACGGTAGTAACGACTGCAGCAGTATTGTTGTGACTGCAGAATCATAGGGATCCTTAGGGGTGTAGGGGGAGGGGTGTAGGGGACTATATTTCCTTAAATAGGCCTTATTTGTCCTTATTAGTCCTTATTATGGGCCTTAAGGCCCCCTACCCCCCCTCCCCTTACACCCCTAAGGATCCCTATGACAGAAGCAGCAGCAACATGTCCACCAACAACAACAGGTAGCAACAAGATGAGACTCAACGACTGACACCCAGCAGCAGCAACAACAACAACTACCACTACGACTGCTTCTGCTGCTAGCCACCCGCCTACCAACCACCTGGCGCCGTATCCCATCGTCATCATCATCATCATTATCATTATCATAGTCCGTACTGGACGACGACATCACGAAAGCACTGTAACTTCTGAGTAAAAGCGCTGCGCTCTGAAACAGTGTTTAGGAGAGGTGGTTGGTAGGGGGGGCGCCTACTACTGCTGCTACTACTACGACTCCGCCGCGATCGTTGACTTTGAGCACGACGACCGCTAGCTTCGAACTTCGCAGTTCCAAAATCAACTCTGTCCGACCGTAAAGACCCTAAACTAAATCCTAAACTCCTAAACCCCTGGCCCTAAACCCCTAAACCCTAAAGCGACCGTAAAGGCTCCCTTTCCTCGCCCTGTCCCAGGCCTGGATCAAAGAGCTGATACTCGGTTGGGGCTATTGGGCTCTTGTTAAGAACTTTGTTTTAAGGTACCATAACAGGGATCTATGGCAAAGAACAGTGGCAGCGCTATTATGGTAACTTAGAATATTGCCATAATAGGGGTCTATAGTGAATAGCATGGTTGCTTTATTATGGTAACTTAAAATGGTATCTTAATAGGGATCTATGTAATATGGTTGCTATAATATGCTAAATTAAAACAGGCTCCTTTATTCTGGTAACTTAACATAGGCTCCTTTATTATGGTATCTTAAACTAAGCTCCAAAAAACAAGAACCCCCCCCCGTATAGATCCCTGAGAGGAACCCTTAATGGAACCCGTAAAGAACCCAACAGTGTGGTAACTCACAAATACACTCCAAAGAACAAGAATGCTTACAGATCCCTCAGAGGAACCCTTAAGGAACCCTACAGTACGGTAACTTAAATTAATTCCTTAACAAGAACCCAGGTTATCATCTCCTAAAAGGAACCCTAAAGGGATCCTTTGAGGGATCCTGCAAAAGGATCGATAGGGTGTTGTAAGGCATCATAAAGGTTTAGGGTTCAAGGGTTTAGGCGGTCTAAGGCGTAGAAGTTTAGGAGTTTAGTTGGAGGGTCGGGGGACTTAGTAAGTAGCTAGTAAGTAGACTTATAAGTACCCTAAAAGGGACCCTAATTGGGGTTATGGTACGTATAAGTCCCTAAAATAGCTACTTACTAAGTCCCCCGACCCTCTAAGTAGTGGGCTGAATTAACAAGAACCCAGGTTATGATCTCCTAGATCCCTTAAAGGAACCCTAATAGATTCCTCAAAGGAGCCCTATATCATCGTACGATATAGTGAACCCCAGAAAGTTGGAACATGGACTTAAACTAAAAAGAACCCAGGTTATGATCTTCCTGATGACGGATCGCTGGCTGCTCTCCAGGCTGACGTGCTTGACTTGGGCTCCCTGTCCTTTCAGGTGAGGGGCCTTTAAGGCTTCCTTTAAAGGGGCCTCTGTAAGGGCTATTATAAGGATTCCTTCAAAGGGGCTTCTATAAGGGCTAGTATAAGGAGTCCTTTCAAGGGGCTTTTTATAGGGGCTATTGTAAGGATTTAAGATGGTGGGCCTGAATAGTTACCTCTACTGCTTTGAGGGTTCCTTATTATACGTTTTGCTTTATATACCCCCCAAACAAACTCTATTCCAATTAAACAAGGCCCCTAAAGTAGGGTTTAGGGGTTTGGGTGTTTAGAGTAACCCTCGAAGACCATGTGGGCAGTTGTCGAAATTAGGGTCCGAAGTCATACATGACAAGCTCATGTAAAGAAAAAGTTTCGGTTTGCCGAGATCCAGCTTAGGCGTCGATTTCTACTTCCTGCAACTGCCAGATGATACTGAAGTCCGGCAGAAGGCAATCTGCAAACGTTTCTTGCGACTTGGGCTCAATTTGCGCAGGAAATCATTAGTTTGTTGTGTTGTGCGGTTTTGATGATTCTGATTGTGGTCCTGAAATCTTCAAGCCCAAGCCCTCTAAATTTGGGGGTACCTTACTTTGGGGTCCTCAAAATAAGGATCCTACTATTTAGGGTACTATAGCTCCTTCGGTCAGGGGTCCTTGCACTGGTCCCACAGTCGGTGGGTCTTGCTTGTGATTGTGCCGGTGGTATTTTGAGGGAGGTTTCAGGTAGGGTAGCTAGAGCTAGACACGGGGTACTTGTAAACCAAATGAGATTCTAAATGCTAAGGCCTTTGATCCTTCAACCTGTACACATGCCCGACCAAGTCGCCTCACGCGAACCCTCTTCGACACTTCTTGTTCCAATCATTTAAGCGCTTTTCACTGCAGGATCGCCGGACCGCATACCCTTATCGTCGTTTCTCATGAATGTAGCACCCTCAATTGGGAGATTCGGTAAGGCTCCTCTAGTCCCAAGCCCCCGCAGCAATCTTAGGCCTGAGGGTTTTCGGTCTAGGGCTCGGGGTGTAGGATTCAGTATTTATGGTTTAGGGCTGAGAAGAGAATATATCCACATGCAAGCAGTGAAACAGAAAGCTATGCCTACTGCCCTCGGACCCTAAACCCCTAAACCCTAAGCCCCTAAACCCCTGAAACCTAAACCCGTCAAGCTGTCGCTTCCTGTGACCTGGGCTCAGTTGGCTTGGCAGCCTGGCTGTTTCGCCTAGGAGCAGATCCACCCACTGAGTAGCTATGTAGGTGACCTTTAACCTTTTGGGGTTAATATAATATAACCCTACCGTATTGAAACAGCCTCTAAGCCCCAAAAGAGCCTCCGGTTCACGCCCCGTGAATGCTTGTTTACGGTTGACAATATAGGGGCCTTAATAATTAGAATCGGGTCTCGGGGTCCGTTATACTATAATTACAATACTTGGAGGGTCGGGGGACTTAGCAAGTAGGTAGTAAGTAGACTTATAAGTTCCCTAAAAGGGACCCTAATTGCGATTATGGTACTTATAAGTCCCTAAAATAACCAGTTACTAAGTCCCCCGACCCTCCAAGTATACCCTAAACCCTAAACCCTACACCCTTATAGAATCCCTATAGATCTCTTTAAAGGGGCCCTCAAGGAACCCCTTATAGTTACTAAGTCCCCCGACCCTCCAAGTAAGGAGCCCCCGAACCAGTATTGGCACTTATCGAGGCCCGTATCTTACGGTTCTACTTTCCAAGAATAAACGGAGGGACCCTTGATAAGGACCCCTAGGTATATACCCTTAATATAGGGTCGCGTATCCTTTTTGTCTTTTTTTGTGTCAAAATGTTTTTTTTATGTCTCAGTCGATGTCTCGGCTTACACATTGCAATGTCTCGGCCATGTCACGGCCATTGTGAGGCGGCTACGACACAGGACATCATTTCAGGCCTAGGCCAAATTATAAACCCGCTCACACATTGCATTGTCTCGGCCATGTCGCGGCCACTGTGAGGCGGCCACGACAGAGGACATCATTTCAGGCCTACGCCAAATTATAAACACGCTCACGCATTGCATATGCCCCTTAAACTCACTATACCCCCTGAACGTCCTAAACCACCGAAATTTTCGAAACACCGAAACCCCCTAAACCCTAAATCCTTGTCTCGGCCAAGTCTCGGCTGAGTCTCGGCTAACTCCAAATTCTAAATCCTAATCCCTATTCCTACTACCCTAAACTCCACAACCCCCTAAACCCCCTGAAACCCTGGGGCCACGACGACGACGAGACGACAACCATGACCACGGCCACGGTGACATTCCGACGACGACGACGAAGACGGCTGATGCTCCTGCTGTACCCTAAACCCTAAACCTTAAACCACGACTATTGCGGCGACAACTATTTTTTCAGAAACCCCTAGCAGGCTCTCGGTTGCAACAATAGCATCAAAGGCTCGGGCCCATTGATCGGACTTCTGCCCTTGCATTCCATGTTTCCATCTCCCAAAACCCTAAACCCTCCTAAGCCCTTAACCCTAATCCCTAAACCCTGGCGAACCCTAAATCCGAGTCTCGGCCGGGTCACGGCCGAGTCTCGGCCAAGCGTAAATCCTGAATCCTAAGCCTAAACCCCTAAACCGTACGACCAAAGCCTAAACCCTATGGCTACGGCTCAAGATGTCGGCTCTGGGGCGACTTGCCTGTTGTGAGTTTCAACTCCTTTCCCTGTCGGCCTCTCCTTCATTCCGGCGTGCTCCTCCTTCGCTGCTCCTGTCCTGCTGCTGGCTCTGACTAGGGCGACTGTTGGCTACTGGCGAGGGAATATCTCTGCGATTTGTGAGATGACGGACCTTGTTGAGGTTGGTAGCCCTACGGAGATTGTGAGTGACATGGATGCTGAGCAAGGCGATGATGCTAGTGATGGGGGAGGTGGCATTGGCGACATGCATGTGGATGCTGCTCCCCTCGCTGCTGGCGGTGATGTCACACGACATGCTGAAAACGTTGAAGGTCTGCGAAGCAAGAAACGTGAAAGAGATCGAAGCAACCGCTCTGACCTGGAAATCAAGAAGGAGGAAGAAGAAGAGCAAAGTCCTTCGAAGAGGGCTCATGAACGTGACGATGGTGATCTTCCCCTTACTGGTCGAGAGCTCCGGGATCTCTTTGCCCAACATCTCTTCTCAGTCAAACAGGAGATGCAAACAGCTTGGGGAGAAGTTTGTGGTCGTGTGGAAAACATCGAAAAGAACCAAACAGCCACTAAAGAGAGCCTCGCTGTGCTTGGGGGGCGCGTTAGCATCACAGAGAAAGACAACGTGCTACAACAGACCGAGCTTGCCAAACATAAGGACCAGATCAGTGGGTTGGAGTCGGCTGTCGAGGACCTCAAGAACCAACTTTCCGAGATCAAAGTACGGGGTGATGGTCAAGCGGACAACACGGCGCATCCTGCTCCTGCTGGGCCTGCTGATGGGCGAGGTGCCGATCCCTGGGCGAACTATCTTCAACGACGACAACATCCTCTTTTCCAACAGCAGGGGCGAAATGACAGATCGCATTCTGCTGAACACGATGGGGGAAACCAAGCAGGGAGGCGGCTCTTTATGAAAGGGGGCGAACCCAATCAGGATGGGCTCTCTGATGAAGATAAAAGGACTTTGATCATCGGCGGATGGGCACAAGACACCAAGAAGGAGGTGATCGAGACCGAGGCCACCTACCTCCTTAAGCTCGACTCCATTCAGCCCTTGCTGGACGTGGAAAAGGTGACTGTGTTCGGCCTCCGCAAAAGCTTTGCCGTCATCCGCTTCAAGGAACGCGAGGGGGAGAATTTTTACCTCGTGCGGGAAAGAATGTGGAAGGTCATCAAGGCAGTGAATGCGCTGAAGTATGTCTGGCCTAGTGCCAGTCAAATCTCGCAAAAGCCGGCGTGGACATCCTTCCTCAAATCGAAGATGGCGAGACAAAGATCGGCTCACGTTTCAATGCTTCGTCGAGTTGCTATCGACCTTGCGGGAGATGCCAAGACACAAGAAGGGGCGCCACTACATCCCGAAGCTCTGGTGGCTGACAACTACGATGTTGACTGGTCAGCTGGGACGATTTGGAGGCAGCAGTGGAAGATTGGAAGTGCCACCCATCGGCAGCCAAAGGGAGACGTCCAGATCATGCCCGGTGGCTGGGTTGACATTGGTGCTCTCATTGCGGCAACAGGGGCGAAGTCGACTGACGTCCTTGCTGCCTTGGAACGAGAGCTCAACATGTGACGAGAGCAGAATGGTTTCACTCGTCCTCCTCCCCAAGGGAATCGGGACGACCTTGCAGATGCGGAAGTCAAGAAGGAATGGAAGTGTGAAAAACATCTCCGTCTTCGTGTGGCATCGTGGAATTTGGGAGGTCAACCACTTGACAAAGTTAACAACGCTTGTCCGGAAGGCGACTTCTTCTTTGTACAGGAGATTGCACGACGTGAACCTGGGTGGAAAACCGATGACAATGATAAGTGCACATGGATTTCGTTTCAACATCGGGAACAATGGAGGGGTACTGCTGTTGGAATTGCCTCTGACCTCTTTGACTGTATCGTGGATCGTCGTCAATGCAAGCGGGGATGTGCAGTTGTGGCCAAACTCAGGAACATTGGGAGGGTCATCTTGGCCAGTGTGCATTGTCCGACTGGGGTGACTTCTGATGTCTATGGTGCTGCCCTTCATGAAGTTGGGAAGATGTTCGACAACAAGTGGAGACATCTTCCTTGTGTAGTCGGCATTGATGTGAATGAGCAGGCGAAATGGATTGCTGACCCTGAAGTCCTTCATGGTGCTCGTCCGGGCTTAGGCAACACCAACTTCCAGCACATGGCTGACCAGATGAATCAACAGGGACTACAAGCTGTCCCTCCTTGTGAAAGTGATCGTCATAAGCCGACACATTTTCCTCGTGACATTGAGCGACAAGGGAGACAAATCGATATGATGTTTGGACGCCAAGTTGACATCAGACCGTTTGAGATAGATGCAGATCGTCGTCATGCTGTTGGATCGGATCACGCGCTACTCTTGGGAGAAGTACAATTCGCCATCAAACGTCGCCATCATTGGGGAGCTGATTCCAGACCGAGATGGACAACGCAAGAACTCCCTTCTCACCCTCTGGTTGACTGGGACGATGTTATGGAGCTCGCAAAAACATGCACCCGACCACGCACATCCAGTAAATACTGCGATGGGGATGATGTTCGCACTGCCTTTCGCCTTGCCAGGGCGACCAACAGTCCACAAGATTGGAAACAAGCACACAAACTACGCAGGCGTGCCCGTGGTGACTGGTGCAAGGAGCGTCGTGAGCGTGTTCTTCGGGGCGACTGGCTTGCCTATCGTGACCATAAGAGAGATAAGCAACGAAAACCTGGCTGGTGGGGGCGTCTTCTACAAGACCGTACATCTGCAGAAATCACGGCGGACGTGCAAAAACATTTGGAGGACAAGATGA